TAAATACGTTTTCGAGTCTTTATTGATCCTTGCGTAATTTCATAGCCATTGCGAACGAGAAAGTCTCTAAAGAATCACTAACGCCCAAGATAATACTACCTCTTATTATTAGATTATGCAGCTATTAATACTCTTCGATGCTGTCTGCTTTTCCTCAACCTAGATATAGTGCGCCAATCACCGGGTATAAGCTGATCTATGAAACTGTCTAAGCAACGTAACTGTCTATGCGTCTAATGATGAAGTAATATGCATCGTTGAAGCTCTAACCCGATTAAAAGTTTAATTATATTAAAATCAAGAGAGTCATTTGTATATTTATTACCACACAGATTGGTTAGCAATAATTATTATAAGCCTGCATTTGCCTATTACTGTTTGAATCACCAAGAAACATCCACAATGTTGCAAGATATATTAAAAATCTCATAAAACGTTATTAGGCTAAACGTAGGTAGTGCACTATTAGAGGACGGCGTCGATACCTGCTAGGTATTGACTGTACATTAACATCAACTTACTTACCCGCGGACAGTGACTGTCACAAATAGAAGTTAGCACGCACATACGGCCGGGCCACCCGACTTTTGTCGCATCGTTAACAGTGTTTCCACGATTGCGTTCGACAACCACAACAAGGGCCGCGGTGACGTTAATGAATACAGGGTTAATAATGAAAGTGTCATGTTTTGTGGATGGCTCTAGCTATTAAGCCGCCGTTGGCCAATAACCCAGCGAGCTTGGATCGAACTGATGAGAGGTTCGCCACGCCCTATAGATACCTTTAGGAAGAAATGCTGCCGTTTTGAATGGCTCAATTTGCCCTCGATTATCATCTTCAACTCTGCCCGCCGATTCTCGTTAGCGGAGGGGTGAACAGAGTGCAAACCCAGCCCGGCAATGGTCTGAATGAGCCACGGCTAAGTATACTAAAGTATATAATAATAGTTACTATATAATACTAATAACATATACCTATAATGATATATCAATATAACGCCTAAATCGAGGATGAGCGGATAAAACATAAGCTTGCGAAAACAACGGACGCCTCAGAGCAGCGCAAGTATCAGGTCTTTTCTACAAAAGAGCATAACCGACTCGTTGGTCCGATCGACGAATTCTGGCCCGACATCGCACGGAATTTGTTTCGCACGCCGTTAACAAAGTTGGTGGTCCTAGCTGCTGTTGATTACTGTTTGTGGAGATATTCGAGCACTTGATATATCAATGTTCCTACAAACACTATCAGAAAGGTAGGTAACCTGTGTGTATCATAACACAGTGTGAATAATTTCACGTATTACTGTGTTTAGAAATCTCTATTGGGAAACGAGTCGGATCACATTTTTATACTAAGATAACGTCATATGTAAAACCTTGTAAAACATTATTAGGTCATAATTTATTGGTCTCTCCTGTGCGTATCTATAAGTTATTTATATGGAGACGTATCAGTTACGCAATACGTCGTACCATGTTCAGGTTTTCTGACTGTTCGAGAGCTATTAATATCTTGCCGAGGGGCACGCGAGTGGCTTTCGCCCCATTTCCCACTCTTTTTTGCCTCGTCTCTCGCTCTGAGGAAGTTCGCGTCTTTTTTTTATGTTATTTCCTCTTGTTTCCCCACTACCGTCGTCTACCTAGATATCTTTTACACACACGCGCAAACGCACACGCACACGTACACGCATGCACGCACGAACGCAACACACATATATTACACACTCATGTACATATACATGCGCAGGCACACATACATACACTCATACGCACACCCATGGTCCTCATAGTCCACCGATGAAATCCCAAGAATGCAATCGGATATTTAAGTCTTCAATGTGCTATGAAAATGAGCTGACAGAGAGGCCGTTGGGTCTAGATTTAATTTCGTTGGCGGATCTCGCTAGCTCCGCCAGTAATATCTTATACCGGGCTCAGGCTGCTATCAGTTAAAAACCAAGATTGCCGGTCTCTAACTCCCAATACATTCTGTTGGAACAGAGTCGCCTCAATTCGTGGTTCAACGATGCTCAGGAGGATCATGGTCCGGAATACTTCAAACTAAGTAACATTCTTCGTCAACGGCATGGCTCGCTTGAATGGATGACATAATTAATTAATTACGCGCTAAATTCATATCGCCGACATGTCAAATGAAAAATCAGCCTAACGAACAGGAAACAAGAAATTCGGTCGGACCGCTCCTCACTGCCGCTGGTCAAGAAGTAGAACAGGTTTGACTAAGATTGCTGAAGTAAAGGTATTAGACCTGAGGGCCAGAGATAGAAAGGAATATGAACTTGGATCTATATAATTGACCTGTCTAAGTAAAGACAATCCGCCTGTAGGCTAGCCTATATCACCACACAGAAACACACACACAAATCCACACACACACACACACACACACAACAACACACACACACACACACACACACACACCGCACAACACGCACACGCACCAGCCGCACACGCACGGACGCACACCAACGCGACTTCACACGCACAAACGCAACACCGCACACGCACACACACACCGACACCCGCACAAACGCAACGCACACAACAATCACACAAATACACGCACGAATTAACACCACACCACACAACACACAACACACACACACACACAGAGCAGCTTCCCCACAAGGCTTGGTCTCCCACACACACACACAACACACACACAGCACCCACACACACACACACACACACACATATATATATATATATATATATATATATATATACATACATATCTTGGCTATAATGCTTTCCCATGATTATTTCTGGAATTTATTTCTTAAATCCAAATAATAATTTAGATTTAATGATTGCGTGGTTTACCTGTGCTCAATCATCTATCAATGAACTGCTGCGCAGCTATCAGCTAGCCAAGGACGGGACTCTAAACAATGAATAAATGAAGAGAGCCCTTAGCAGGTCTGAAAGCAGGGCGTGCCGACTACTGGGTTTAGCTAGGCGTGTAATGTGTATACGCACTGGATGCGAGCAAGGGCTAAGGTTCGCATGCTTGTCAAGCTAATTCCTCTAGTATTACCTGCTGCAATTCTAACTGCTATGCACCCTTCCCACTTGAGTTCTTCTGGTAAATATTAGACATTCTCCTTCGACCTCGTCTTACCAACATTCCCTCACTCTAGGCGCTTCCCCTTACACTCAATGTTTCTCTAAAATAATCATCCAACTCCCTTTCCTTTCTCCATCATCTCTCTGCAACTATGTGACCCTTGCATTCTCATGGCACCCGTACCTCCATGCCCCTCCCGCAAACAATACCCGCCCTCTTCCTATCCCGATCCCCGGTCCGTCGCGACACGTGAGCCATCTATATCTCGCATTGTGCTGACGCTAGCACTCGCTGACTGAGCATTAGAGTACTCTGTCGTCGTCTCCGCTCCCCGAGATTTGACAGTCCAGAGTGTGGGAATAATCAGTGTGTCGTTCACGTGACATTGTGGTGGCAACATGGCGACATTGAATTGACGAGTTAATAATAAGATCACCATGCGGCGACACCGGCGCGACAATGATGTAAGTGTATAATAATGACAAACGCGCGGTGACAACAAGGAGAGTGACGTGACAAGACGGCGCAGTGACGGCGTAATAACGTAATCATAGCGTAATGTGTGGAGACACGCTGGCACGCAAGTGCATTTGGCGATTTCCCGTTTACTGAGTGCATATATGTGCTACGAGAGTGATCATCCGTGAACGCTTGCCTTGCCGCTCGCGCGAGACGGGAGAGCGAGGCAATATACCGCAGTGTCGTCAGGGGCTACAGGTATGCTCTACGACAGAATCTACCTATCGTCTTATCCGTCTCCTGCTAGATAAGAATGTTACTCGATAATTGAGTATTCAGGTCGCTAAGGCATCGTCGTTCGTGCATCGTAAGATTAATAGCGTATATACCAGCCGGTTACTCGACAATTTCTCATCCAGACTCATCCGATGGTAATAACTAGTTGATGATCGTTAGTGATCGATGAGGATAACTAGTTTTCGGAGGCATCGGGCAGCGCCAAGATCGAATATGTAGCCTATAATGCATTCCCGAACCCACAATTGCCATGACAACTCACTGTCACGGCCGCTTACGGTCGGTCGCTCTGCTGGCCTTGACTGCGGTGTTACTGCAATAAATGAGCTGTGGCTGTAACTAGGCTGCTGGTATCCACTTGAACGCAAGAGTTATGTTACATATTTGCGTGCCGTGATGCTACGGTAAGACCATAAATGCCGAAATAGATAGATAGAAATGCAGGGCTAGCGAAGTGCATCGTAAGATTAATAGCGTATATACCAGCCGGTTACTCGACAATTTCTCATCCAGACTCATTCGATGGTAATAACTAGTTGATGATCGTTAGTGATCGATGAGGATAACTAGTTTTCGGAGGCATCGGGCAGCGCCAAGATCGAATATGTAGCCTATAATGCATTCCCGAACCCACAATTGCCATGACAACTCACTGTCACGGCCGCTTACGGTCGGTCGCTCTGCTGGCCTTGACTGCGGTGTTACTGCAATAAATGAGCTGTGGCTGTAACTAGGCTGCTGGTATCCACTTGAACGCAAGAGTTATGTTACATATTTGCGTGCCGTGATGCTACGGTAAGACCATAAATGCCGAAATAGATAGATAGAAATGCAGGGCTAGCGAACGAGCGATCGAAAGAGAGACAGACGGGGGAGATGGAGAGAGGGTAAGATAGGACGAGAGAGCGCGCGGGAAAGAGAGAGGGGGCAGAGATGGCGAGGTAGAGAGAGAGGGGGAAGAGGAGGAGGAAGCGATAGCGAGGTAGAGAAAGGGGGTAGAGATAGCGAGGGAGAGAGATACCGAGAGAGAGTGGGAGAGAGATAGGTACTGAACAGACAGCGATCGATACTCCACTACCAGTAACAGTTCACGTTTTCACAACGCGTACCTGCTATGTAAATACGTAACAGTTGAACTTTGGCTTTTATATAGATTCGTCGAGACGAACAGCTACAATTTGACACATGCATCGTCACGTCACGGCACCGCCCAGCATTACCAGGCCACTCCGTTGATACTGATCCCTAGATGCATAGCAGTCAAGATAGCGGTCTCACACAACGCTGTGAGAGGCCACTGCCTCATGATCATCTCTCGAAACGTCAAACTGTTAGGGTCAGCTATCGTAGGAGAAAGTCGTCAATCTTTAACCGAAGGACGGGCCTCAGGCGCTGACATTCACAGACATGGCGCCGATTCGCTTACAGTGTTTGCGCGTCGGATCTCCTCATCGAAGAGCTCTCGTCGTGGCGGCGGTTCTGCTAGCGACGCTTCAGTATCCGTCGGCGACGGCGACGGCGCGTAGAACGAGCAGCGACGACAGCAGCTGCACGTACACGGCTGCCGTGCTGCAGTATTATTTGCAGACGCCCGGACCGGGTAGCGATCCCAGTGAGGTTATGAGGAGTAACTTGCTTGCTTATGAAGAGTACTTGATGCAAGCTGCAGCTCAGGTAAGGAATATATGATGACACAACATTATGATACAGTAGGAGAGGATGGTTGCACGTCCGCGCGGACGGACGAACTAACGAGTGGACGGATGGAGAGAAGACAGACAGGGAGGGGCGGGGAGAGGGGGAGATGCCCGAGAAGATAATATCAGGGGTGAATAATGACAAATAATTACAGTCTATCGTTATTCACCCCCCTGATAAAATGAATATTTAATCGGGAAGGGGAAAATAAGAAACAGGTGTGCATGTGACTGGTCATTTATTGAAACACGAGATATCTGTTACAGGGCGCCAGTATCATCGTCTTCCCCGAAACCGGTATCACCGGCTTCCTCCAGAAGGACAGAGAAATCGTCCTCAAGTGGCTACAGGAGATTCCCGAACCAAACACCGAAGCCGCCCTCGACGGTCAGAGAAGCTCTGATTCTCCAGATTCGTGCGATAGCGGCTGTGTCGCAACATCCGGCGACGATTTCGTGCTAGAGTCGCTGAAATGCATGGCAGCATGCCACAAAATAACGATCGTCGCAAATCTGGGCGAAGTGCAGTATTGCCAGCCGGCCGCGTCGTCGACAGTTCCCACTCAGGTGCAGAGCAGTGCTGCTGCCGAGGACGCTGTTCCCGGCTGTCCACCCGACGGCCGCTTTCAGTTCAACACGAACGTGGTCGTCGATGATAACGGTGCGCTGGTCGTGCGCTACCGCAAGCAGCACCTCTACAACGAGGCCGCCTTCGACGACCCACCCGTGCCGGAAGCCGGCGTGTTCGACACGCCTTTCGGCCGCTTCACGACTTTCGTCTGCTTCGACATCAACTTTTACAACACGTCGGCCGACGTCGTGCTGCACGATGGCGTCGACAGCGTCGCCATGTCGGCGGCGTGGCCGATAGCGTTGCCGACGTCGTCGCCGCAGCAGACGCATTCCGGATGGGCGCTGGGCACGGGTGTCAATCTGCTGACGGCCAATGTGCGAGGTGTCACTGACGGACTGACGTTCGGCGGAAGCGGAATCTACTCGGGAGTCTCCGGAAATCTGACGTACACCCGCGAGGACGCGCCAATGCAGCCAGAGCTCGTCATCGCTGACGTGCCATGCTATAGGAAGCGCTCGTGGGAATCCTATGCGCATCGGCCATACTCGGTGGAGATTTATGACGCCCCCGTCGCTGCTATAGCCCGGCCCGCTGGTGGCGGCGGAAGCGGAAATAAAAGGCGAATGAAGAACAAGAAGAATAGTAGGAAGAGAAACGAGCATCGTAGGCGACCAGGGAACGAACCTAATAGCGAGAATTCGGAAACGGGCGACAATAGCCCGCGAACTGGTGGAGAGCGAGAACAACACACTTCGGCTCCCCCTCCCAAATATTTCAAGAATTATGTCATCGGTGTCCTCTTTAATTTCACCGCTCTAGAGGCCGACATCGGCAGAGCGAGCGTCTGCTACGGCGACCTGTGCTGCCATCTGGATTACGCAATGTCCGCTAGGGGCAGGCGAAGCGATGAGCTGTATGCTCTGGCCGCATTTAACGACTACTACACGGCGGTAACGGACCAGTTCTGGTGGCAGGTTTGCATGGTGGTAAAGTGCAGAACCTCTTCGTATAAGACGTGCGGCGAGAGCGTAACTCGTGCGAAAACCAAATTTAAAGCTCTGACTCTGAGTGGAGACTTCTGGGTGGAGTTCATCTCTCCAAGTGTACGCGTGGATGGCGACTATCTACTCGCACCGCTTGACCAGTGGTCGTTCGACAACGACGGTGAAGTGATGTTTAGCACGAAGGGTATTGCTGACCCTCTCATCACAGCCGAAATACAGGCGTTTGAGCCGGAAAAGCACGACCAAAGCAAACGTGGTGTCGACGTGACGTGCACGTGTACGTAGTGCTGCTGGCAACGACGAATCGAAGCAGTCATGCGAGCAAACAGAGAGAAATAGAATAGTTGGCTTTAAAAATATTACATCCTGATCTTATTGTGGCCTTGCGTGATTTTGTCTCTATATGGAGCACCGTATAGTATAAAAAGGCGTGCATTGCCGAAAAAGCGGTGACTTGATGATATAAGTTTGTAAGTTATGAAGGCAAGAAAATGTATTCGGTTATTGTTGGAATGATGCAAGCCATGGCAATGATGCATGGCTAATGGCAATGGGCCACGGCAATAACACAAATTTTAACCATGCATAGAAAAATATGTGGCGATCTCAGTACATACAGGAACATACGTATCGGGACACTAGATAATATCACCTAGCAGTGAATGATCTCTCATAAGTGTGAATACGAACAGGATTGTACATATACGACGGACTGTATCACAGGCCGAAAATGATATACGTTCTGTATAGCTTATAGTTTCTGGTATCTGATACTCAGATTGAGAATGACACTGACAGTGTCAACATAGTTAGTTGCGAGAAATTGTACGTCTAAATAATTTGTATGTGAGTTGAAATAAAATGACAGAAAATATATTAGATATTATACGTTTTCACGCATGCTGTTATATTTTCTACTCACCGAAATCAAAGATTATTCAGGCGCATGAGAAAAACTACGGCCGATTTTCAGAGTCCGCTTCGTTTCACTGCTGTTCGTAATCTTAAAACTGACAAGTTTTGAAGAATGTAAAACTGTCTAAACTACGTTAAATAACAATATATTAAAAAAGCTTATTCTCTGTTCTGCTCTCACAACCTTATAAGGCATATCAGTTCTTTTTAAAATGTAAAAATCGAGCAAATAATTAACACTTCTACTCATGATACGAACAATAATTATTACTGAGAGCTACTCGTGATACGTAAACAAACTGGGGGTGCTACATGCAACCATACCAGCTTGCGTGAAGGAAGTCGTATGCGCCCCCCCCCACGCGCGCTTGTGTGTGTGTGCGTGCGTGCGTGCGTGCGTGCGTGTGTGTGCGCGCGCGAGCGTGCGTGCATGCGTGTGGGCGTGCCTGCGTGTGTACGTGCGTGCGTCTGCGTGCGTGCGTGCATGAGTGTGTGTGCGCGCGCGAGCGTGCGTGCATGCGTGTGGGCGTGCCTGCGTGTGTACGTGCGTGCGTCTGCGTGCGTGCGTGCATGAGTGTGTGTGCGCGCGCGAGCGTGCGTGCATGCGTGTGGGCGTGCCTGCGTGTGTACGTGCGTGCGTCTGCGTGCGTGCGTGCATGAGTGTGTGTGCGCGCGCGAGCGTGCGTGCATGCGTGTGGGCGTGCCTGCGTGTGTACGTGCGTGCGTCTGCGTGCGTGCGTGCA